CATCATCCATCCATCCATCAACCATCCATCCATCCATCCATCATCCATCCATCATCCATCCATCATCCATCCATCCATCAACCATCCATCCATCCATCCATCATCCATCCATCATCCATCCATCATCCATCCATCCATCAACCATCCATCCATCCATCCATCATCCATCCATCATCCATCCATCATCCATCCATCCATCAACCATCCATCCATCCATCCATCATCCATCCATCATCCATCCATCATCCATCCATCCATCAACCATCCATCCATCCATCCATCATCCATCCATCATCCATCCATCATCCATCCATCCATCAACCATCCATCCATCCATCCATCATCCATCCATCATCCATCCATCATCCATCCATCCATCAACCATCCATCCATCCATCCATCATCCATCCATCCATCATCATCCATCATCCATCCATCCATCCATCCATCCTCCATCCATCATCCATCCATCCATCCATCCTCCATCCATCCATCATCCATCCTCCATCATCCATCATCCATCCATCATAGTAAAACATGTCCAAATCATGTCAGCATCTGCATCTGTCTTTATTTATGTGTCTCACCTGTACAGTTCCTCTCATCAGTCTCACCTGTACAGTTCCTCTCATCAGTCTCACCTGTACAGTTCCTCTCATCAGAGTCCAGAGCGTATCCGTTATCACAGCGACAGCGGAAGCTGCCGATGGTGTTTCTGCACCTGCCGTTGGAGCAGAGCGTGTTGATCATCCTGCACTCGTTGATGTCTGCAGACAGAGACAGAGGGTCAGGTTCAGGTCAGGTTCAGGTCAGGGCTGCTGACGGCTCACCTGCCTCCACCAACAGCACCGTACCTTTGAGGAAAGGTCTGCCGTTGATGAAGTCTCCTCTGTGCGAGAAGCCGGGGCCCCGGGGACACAGCTGAGCAAACTCTGGAGTCCCCTTATCTGGACACTCGTCACATTCGGGGCCCCAGGCCACGCCCACGGAGCAGCAGCAGGCGTCCACGCGGTGCTTCCCTGATATGGCCAGGCCGCAGCGCTCGTCRTCATGGGTCAGGTAGCAGTGCTCCGTCCTCAGGTCTGCGGGGCCAGAACACGTTTACATGACCTGAGGACAGGAAGATTAACAACACATCTGTGACACACCCACCGATGCACGTCCTCCCACTGATGTCCACCGTCATCCCTGGAGGACACTGGCAGAAGAAGGAGCCTTGTGTGTTCACACATTTCCCGTTAATGCAAACACCTGGAAACACCTGACACTCATCCACGTCTGAGAGGCCAAAACAAACAAGGTGAGCTCTCCACAGGAAGTAAAACAAGCCTGATGAGGTTCCTGACAGCTGGACTCACCCTCGCAGGCGTTTCCTCGGACTCTGGCAAAACCTTTTCCACAGATCGGATCTGCAGAACAGAACAGCTTTAATGTTTCACTTTCATYCTTTCATCAGACACAACCAGATTTTTATAAATTAAAATGTTTGAGACCAAAGTCCTGCTGGAAGACAACAATGACAGCATCCTTTATTTATGTTGAGTCCAGGCAGACAGTTAAACGTGTTAGRAACTGTCCAGAACCAGAGCCTACGGACCTTTTTCACACTTGGCACAGGGGCTGTTCCAGGCCTCCCCCAGCGTGGAGCAGCAGTGAGACTTCAGAGTGGCTCCGTTAATGTTCACCTCACAGCGATCGTTGATCATCTTCAGCCAGCAGGTGCTCTTAGTTGTCTCTAAAAACAGCATCAGAAGCACTTCTTTTGTTATCATATGAAAGATTCAGACAGAAAACTCAGTGTAACCTGGGTGTAATAACACACACACACACACACACACACACACACACACACACACACACAC